AATAAAATATCTTTGATTGGTAATTTGATTCCAATCAAGGATATTATCTTAGTCATCAATATTATTCCTTTGTTTGACACTATTCCTTTGTTTGACATTTCTAACACTCCCCCTCAAGTTGAATCATCTGTTTCGGATGTTTAACTTGCTTAATGTTGCTTGAAAGAGTCCAGCTGGTACTGCTTTTGTGAGAATGTCTGCCAATTGATCTTCAGATCGGACATATGGAAGACTGATGATATCTGCCTCGAGTTTCTCTTTGATAAAGTGACGATCAATCTCGATGTGCTTGGTACGATCATGTTGTACTGGATTCTCTGATATACGAATAGCAGCGGTATTATCGCACATTAGTCTACATTTACCCTTCGGCGGATATCCCAAATCTTTAAGGAGTTTTCTTAGCCAAAGAACTTCAGTAATTCCTCGAGCGATCCCTCTGAATTCTGCTTCTGCACTTGATAGAGCAACTACCTTTTGTTTCTTGCTTTTCCATGTGACCAAATTACCTCCAACAAAGGTAAAATACCCTGAAGTGGATCTTCGATCATTTGGATTCCCTTCCCAGTCAGCATCTGTGTAGGCTTGAATATCTAAGTGACCATGTTTTTTGAATGTAACTCCCATATTAATGGTCCCCTTAAGATATCTCACGATTCGGATAGCTGCATCCCAATGTTCCTTCTGTGGTTTGTGCATGAACTGACTTACCACTCCGACAGCATATGCAATATCAGGTCTTGTGAGTGCGAGGTATATAAGTCTGCCTACAAGTCTTCGATACTTATCTTGATCAGCTTGTATTCCTCCCTCATTAATTTGAAGTCCGTGGTTAACCATCATAGGAGTGACAGCCGGTTTGCAATCCATTAATCCAGTTTCAACTAAAAGATCAAGGATATACTTCTTTTGACAAATAAAGATCTCCTCTTGAGATTTGAGAACTTCAATGCCAAGGAAAAAATTAAGTTCTCCAAGATCTTTCATGTCGAATTCCTGGAATAACTTGCCCTTCAATATAGCCATCTCTTCTATGTCACTGCCAGTAATTATCATGTCATCCACATAGATGATCAAACATGTTATAAGCTTGCCTCGTCTTTTAAGAAACAAGGTATGATCAGAGTTACTTTGACGATATCCATATTTCTTCATGGCTATCGTAAATCTACCAAACCATGCGCGTGGAGATTGTTTCAGACCATATAAAGCTTTTCGCAATCTACAACCTTCGCCTTCTCTGAAATTCGACGAGAACCCAGGTGGTGCTTCCATGTAAACCTCATCTTTTAGCTCTCCATGGAGAAAAGCATTTTTCACATCAAACTGATA